TTCGAAAACGTCATTTGTGGGATTCGAACTTTAGACCTGCCGTCTGGGGTGCGACAACTCCACCACTTCACTAAGTCGCCACACCCTTTGTTTTTCTTTTTTTATATTTCCCTGTTTCTCCATTTCTTTTTCTTTTTGATTTCCTTTTTGTTATATGTTTTTGTTTTTTTTAGTTTTAGATTTTTTTTTTCTTAATGTTAATTCTGTATTGGTAATACAGAATTTTACTTTCTTATGCTCTTGGTAAAGAAAGAAAGAAAGATTGAAGGGATTAGTTCTCGACAGGCTGACAAGGTTTCCTAACTGAAATTCATTTTCAATATTAGTATAACAGATCGCTTCTAGGTATGATATATCATAGCTAGAGGATGTCAGGCCTGCAATTTAAAAAAAACATGTTTTATTTGCTATGTTAATAGTTAAATAAAGTTTTTTGTATTTGGGCTCTGACAAGACTATCAAAGAGCTAAAAAAAAAAAATAGCAAAAATTATAAAATATATCTAGCTAGTGTTTTGAAAGATTATTAAAGTTGGGTTTAGATATAAACCCAAACTTAACTTATATAAATTAGATTATATAGTTGATATTGTCTAATTACATACTGTATAATTGCATATACTCTCTAAATATATAAAAATTTTTGACTTTTAATTATTAACACAAAAATGGTTCTTATGACTTAAATACATATATTGTTTATATGCGTAAAAAAGTCACTAACAAATAGAATGCAATTAGACAGTATTGACTGTAATTTATTATATATTATAAAATTAATTGGTAAAATTAAATAGTACTAAAATAGTTATAAAATTTATCAAAGTATTTTGAAGCTTCTAATTATTTGCAACCCAATGCCCCGTAATAGCAAAAAATAAATAAATATTTGTTGAAATTTAACAGTCTAAAATCTTTTCTAAAATGTTTTGGTATAAATTATTATATTTGTATATTTCTTTACAAAATATTTTATAATATTATTTTTAATTGTATTTTCTATAAAAATTAATATATTTGGATTTAAAGCTTTACTATTTGCTAAAAGAGTTCATTTTTAGAAGTTGTAAATAATTGATTGTCTAAAACTATCTATTTAGGATCAGGCTTTAATGAGTGGATTCAGTTGATAACATTATTAATGAAGAGGTTTGTTTGATTTTGGATAAAAGTATAAGAAAAGAGAATTGAAACGAAAAATTTAAACATTTATTGATTTAAGCTGATTCGATCAAAAAAAATCATTTAATTTATTGATTCAAGTTGATGAAGTTAATGTGGATAATTTCAGGTTCGGGTTTTAGTTCAGGTCACCCGAACTATATAAATTGACCCATTCGGTGCACTATCAGTATTAAACACTATATAATATAGATTAGATATAGGGTTCCGATTTTAGTTTTTGTAAGGTTTTGAATATTTTTACTGCTTAGTATATTTTTGAGCACCATAGATAACTTAAAAAATAATATATAAATTTTTATTAAAAAAATTTTTTTTTAAAAAAAAAAATCAAAGCAATATATATATATATATACTATATATATATATATACTATATATATATATATATATACAGTATATACAATATATATATATATATAAAATATATATTTACAAAAATATTTTTTATATAACTATATAAATTGAAGGCGATTTACTAATGCTCAAAGCTAATAATTTGATGCACAATATTTTCTACGTATTGGCTTATTATAACGATAAGTAAAAAAAATTTAAATTTTATACGTAGTAAAACTTAAAATAGTGTTAAACGCTACGTAGTAGAGTAAATAAAGGTAAATGAAATATTTAGCATTTGAATTAACACGAGAAAATACATTTTTACTTCATTTAGTAAATATTTGAAACAAACCAATACCATTACGGAAGATCTTTTATTCACGAAACCCCAATAATTATGAAGCGTCAACAATAAAAATATTTTCGGCAACTCAAGGATTTATTCGATATGCAGATGTGTGCCAAAGATAGATTGAATGAAATAGAATTTTCTATTGTTAGAATTATCCCGTGAATATCAAGCACAGATCATAAAACATATAAAGAAATCGCATTCTATCGACCCTGATTAATGTTAAGCAGCATTTGAGACGGTTCGTGCTCTAAAGAGAAAAAGGCAAGGACTAGCACATGAAATAAAAAAAGCATACAATATATGCGTGATTTGACAATCTTGATAAAATTTCGAGATAGTCCTGGCAAAAAGTCTTGATAAAATTTGCAAATCACATCAGATCTTATGCGTACTAACATTTTTTTAGAATTCAAATTAGTTTTTTTTTATTATTATTAAATTGAAAAAAATAAAATACTTTTTGGTTTTTTTTTTTTTATGAAACGCCCAAAAATAAAAATTAAATGAAATAATAAATGAATAAGCTTATTGTAGAAAAAACAACCGCTTTTTTTTTTTCCTTTTAGAAATGACGTGGCAAATTAATGTAGAAAGATGAGTATATACAAAATGAAGAAAAAAGAACAAAAAGAAAAAGGTACTTGTTAATGTTAAAATTTACAATAATAAATGAGAAACATTTGAATTTTTTTGAATCATTGTTCTTTGCTGCTGGTTTAACCCAAATAAAAATGGTAATGAAAAAATACGTAAATTTTAGATAATCAAACTAGAATGATAATAGGAAAAATAAAAAGTATAAGAAATTTAACAAACACCACCGACTTGAACAAACCCATCAAACCAAACTACCACTCCTTCTTTTAGTTCTCTTTTCCAAACAACACCTCGATATTGAAAGGTCCAAAAGCTCCACCAGCAAATCATGAATATTCCAGAGATAATACCACCCCACAGAATGTCAAATAGATTGGGAAACCTAGAAAGATCAGTATGATATAGAGTAATTCCATCATCAACAATACCCGTATAATTGAAAGGTACGTGAAACCAAAACTTTATAGCCTCCCAGAAAAGAATCCAACCAGCAGCTGATCCTGCGATACACCAAGTTCGATAAGACCAAGATTTAACAGAATCTAGAACAGTTAAATGTTCCCATGTTATCAAACCCCAATGATTTCGGCGCATTGCTAAGAGAAGAATGAAAGATAATATGGGCAAAGTAGTTGATTTCCACTTTCCATGAGTTAGAAAAGGGGCGACATCCATTGGTTCTATAAGATATTCTAAATCGTATAGCATTACAGAACCATTTTTGTTGACATAATAGTTATAGTAGTAACCTTGCATACTACTTATTGTAAGTGGTCTTGATATTAATGAATCAGGACGACTCTCAGGTTTTATAAGCCATAAACACATTGCCCATCCTGACCATATGACCCAAGTTCCATATAAAACGAGAGCTTTTTCTACTTGACTTTTTTTGAATAGGTTGGCTAACAAAGTGGCGATATGAAAACAAGTAGTAGTAACATACACCAATTGAGTAAATGACGTAAGACGTGATGATGGTATAGAGGTCGATGGTGTAATAAATAATGTATGAAGATGTTGAAATATTATCGTAAGATGAACGAAGAGGGTAAATGATGTATAACCTGTATTGCTATTATATTAAATAAACAGTATCATAAATAATAATAATTAGATTAGTATAGTTTAGATTAATTACCCGATAACTTGTTAAAAAATAAAATGATAAAAAAAATTACATTTTCATTAGTGAAAAAACTTTATCTTGTAGAGACAGTTAAAATTTTTTATCTCACGTGTTCTTAAAAAAAAGTATTATTAAAAAGCGTCACTTTGTAGTCCAAAGTTGTTTTTTTTTTTAAAAAAAAAGACTTAGAGGTAGAAAGGAAGATTTTATATTTATTTTTTTTTATTTTTTTGTTTATATATTATTTACCAAAGGTGTATATTAAAAAAATGACCTCTACATTGTATCGAACGAGACAGATGGAAAAGAGATGAATTTTTAAATGAAAAAAACAAAAGGGGATTTTGTAAAAGCAGGGTGTATATTTTTTGTGTACTTAACCATATATATTCCTTGATATGCATGTCATTATCGTAGAATTTTCAGATGAGTAATCCTGTTTGTACATCTTTTTTTGCTTGTCATTCCTTTTCTTTCACATCTATCCATTTTCGCGTATTAACATGAGAGCGAAGGAAGTTGCACATCAAATCAATAAATTATTCAGTTATAGCTCTCATTGATTTGTCAAAGATGAGGATCAACATACTTCTAATACTTCTAATAAAGTAATTATTGCTTTCGCTGATTTGTCAAAGACGAGGATCATCATATTTCTAATAAAGTAATGAGAATGAAATGAGCCTCCGAATCTTTGTCATTTAAAGATAAATTGATCTGATGATAAACATTAAACGTAATGAGGATCATCTTTATCACCTGCAAAAAAGTAAAACTTTAACTAGAAAATTTTAATGTTGAACAGAAACCAATTGCAATGCTAAAATTAAAGCTGACACGTGCACCAAAAAATTATCACAATATCACGCTATGTTTTGTTTGTGCTTTTGATATTACGTTCCTCAAATCTATTGAATCTATTGTTATCGAAGGTACGAACTGGACATACATATGTATATACCTTATTTATTAAGTAACTTATTTACCTTATTTATTACTTCAATAAACAGTTTTCCTATGATACCATACGTTTTGAGATTTAATCGTTGGTTGGATACGGGCACTGACCACCAACATTTCCTTGAGTAACGTTTACTTTTTTTGGATATTATTACAGCGATAAGACTATATCTGATATAAAATACGTAATATACAGCCAAATATGACTTAACGTTAATGTCACATTGCGACAAATAGAGTCTCTCTTGGCGTTATAATAATAATTTCACCTAACTTTTTCACGTACCTACCTCAATCGTTCTCTACATAACCGTTAACCTCAACGAATTAATAGTTTGAATTAAAAGATAAACCTTATTAGGCGTAACAATCAAAAAGCTCCTACCACTTCTTGTTACTTTTTTTATTGACAGACACAATCACATAACGAGCCTGCTGATCTTGAATGCCCATGTTATAACCTGTTATAAACTTGAATCTGAATGTATGTGAAAAATTAATTTTTTTTTTTTTTTTTTGCGTACGTAATGATGTGAAGATATTAAGAAAAAGTAAACAAACATTCTTTCGGTTATCGTTACGAAATTTTGTACGCGCAGCATTACAAAACAGAATGGAGAACCTTACAGGGTTAAGTGTAACCTTACACGGGTCTAATCAAAGGTTTAAGGAAAGAACTTATTCAACAGATTAAAATTAGTTACCATGATAAGGAAAAGTTTTTTTTCAATCACGATTTTGGCGCTTTGAATAAACCTTGTCCTCAAATTGTTACGTAGAAATAAAAAAATATGTATAATAATAATAATACAGTAATAGTTTCATCTATTTTTTCATCTCAAAATTTTCTAGGCGACTTCCTATAGTAAGTTTTTAATACAAGATCGATTACTTAAATCCAAATTACGTATTTTTGGCGCCAGTGTATATTTTAAATCTTGTGGACCCGTACCTAAGATTACTTTAACTGGTAATTAAAAGGTAAAATGTTAATACGTACAGTAATAAGCGATATGTATACAAAATAT